CTCTCAGACTAACATAGGCATCAGAGACAACTCTTTTCCTGTCCCCAGATGTGACAACACCCAGGAAATAAATGGTGGTGATGCAAACAATATATAATGTGCACAGAGGTACAGACTATTTTTTAAAAAGCTACTGTGTTCTAAGTACAACCCTTTCTGTTTTGGCTCTATATTTATAACTAAAATATGCTTCTGCATTTTTTCTTAAAGTAGTTAAGGGACACTGAAGGAAAATGGTCTTTTATAATTATTTAAACTAAAAGGTAACGCCATAAGACATTATTTCTTAGAAAACCCTGGAGTCCCATTTATTAACCGACAGCAATTTGGTGTTAAATGGGGTGAAATACAAATTGAGTGTTGCCCTAAAATATTTTGCCACCAGACCACAACATGCTAATGAGATTTTGCCCAACCTTATGAATATTAATTCAGGTGGATAGCGTTCTCAACAGAAACCTTGAGTCAGTGACAAAAACCTACATAAAATAGGAGTTCCTCCTTATAAGGAAAACAGAAAATATTCAATTCTACTTTTCCCACTTTGTGCTCTCCAATGTTAACGTACGTTTAGAGCCCATTTTGTGATGTGGAGACTCCACCTAATCATTAATTGCCGCCCTAAAATCCTTGAAAAACAATTTTGCAGCTCTAAAGCACTTTCCATAAAAGGACCCCAGAGCATTTCACAAAATTAAGGAATTACGGCTGGAATTTCAGAAGTAGCCTAAGAAAATTAGGTGCCCAAATCCCACTGAAATTCAGTAGGAGTTAGGTGCTTCACTCCCTTAGGCACATTCTGAAATCCCAGCCTTGTTGTTTTTGTGGATACAGACTAACACAGCTGGCCGCCAATACTTGAATCCTATAGTCTAAACACTTGAAAATGCTTTTAAGAATTTTTTTTCTAGTATGATCGGTGCAGGATGCTCATTTAGAAGCTGTGACCAAGAATACTGTGCTTCATATGTGCTATGGAAGAATGGTACATTCATTTCTTTCACGTAGAGAGCTCCAGAACAGTCCAGGCCTTTCTCACCTTCAGCTTAGACTAATTGAGTGTGCTGTACACAGAGCTGTCGGATCAATCAAAAGTGCAGAATAATGCTGCCTACTTATTAGGCAATGTTTTATATAATAAGCACATTTGGTCAGTAACTCTGTAGTCTGTACTGGCCAGTGATTAAGTTGTGGGTTAAGTTCAAAGTTTTGGTCCTGACTTCCAAAACCTGAACCAGTTTGGGGTCTTGGTTACTTGAGGGAGTGCCTCTCTCCCCATGAGACACTGGTGCAGTTTTGATCAGTGGAGGCAATTAAGCTAACCTCCTTGGTTTGAAAAGGTGATGCCTGGTTGCAAGTAAAGCTGAGCAAAATTTTTCTGCCAAAATTCTTTTTTGGCTGAAAAATGCTGTTTCGAGTCGAATAAAATATTTTGAAAATGTGTGTTGAATTCACCTAATTGTTTCAACCACACCAAAAAGTAAAAGAAAAATTCTGAGAAAAATCAAAAAAGTTTCATTTAAACATTTCCAAAATTATTCAATTTTCTGATTCAAAATGACATTTTGCTTTGAAATGTATTATTTTAGAAAAATTAAAACATTAAAACAGCTCAAAACCAAATCCAAATGTTTTGTTTTGAGTTCAACAAAATGTTTTGTTCAACCCTGTATGAAATTTTTCAACTTTTAGGTCTGCCAAAATTTTTGAAAAAATTTCATTTTGGGTCGACCCAACACAATTCCCCCCCCCACCCGATTTTTTGTAATGGCCAATGAATCAAACAGTTATTTACATAGATCTGGTTGCAAGGTTTTCTCTATAGGTGTTTGTAACTCTAGAATTCAATTTCTTCCTTAATCTGCCAGAGCCCAAACTAACTGACTTTAAGGGCATAATGCTTAGGTTTTTCGTTTTTTTGAGATTTAGCAAGGGGTGGGTTAGGAATAAGAGTGGTCCTATGAGAATATCTGTGTTTCATTAATGGCAATCCATTTTTTGGATTGGTATTAACATATGATTCAAGCAAGCAAGTTTGATATACTGGGTGATTTTCCCATTTTGTCTGTTTTTATATTATTTTTATATAGTACCTAGAATTAGTAGGATGGAAGCCTTTTATACCTCATACTATATACACAACACACATCCACACAGGCTGGGATCTTCAAAAGAGCTTAAGGGGAAAAAATACGAGGTGCATAAACCTATATAAAATGTATATACCTCCCTTATACATGTAAAGATACATACACAAAGTTATTGTTGAGGAGATAAAAACACAACAACAAAACACAAATAATGAAAGACAGAAAATGTTTTATGTGCAGACGGAATTTAAGTTCTTTGCACAATAAAGCATCAATAAATGTTTGATGAAGCTATTTATGTCAAAGTTTAGGCCAAAATTAGGCACCATATATCAATAATTAGTCACCTAAATACATAGCCCCCATTTCTCAGATATTCAATATTTTATCAGGCTATTTTTATTTAGGTGCTTAATATTAGACACTGAATTCTGAAAATGTTAGCTTAATGAACTTGATTACCCACACATCACAGGATGTGAACATGACCTTGTAACAAGCTGGCCTTCTCCTCAGCTCCTAAAGGACTCTCTGCCATACCCAGAATCTCTTTTCTGGCAGTTGATTTCCCAGTATAGGCAAAACAAACAAAAAACAGTTCTTCAGTCCACTCTGGGTTACAGCTCCCAGGGTCGTCCTCCCCTCTTTTGCCTCTTCTCACTGCTCCCAGTTCTTGCAGCTCCCAGGCTCTGATGAGGTCTCTCCTCCCCTCTAGGCCCAAGTGCCCTCTTTTAACCTTAACTGGGGTCAGCAGACCAGACACAGAGTGCACTGGTCCTGCTCCCTCTTAAAGGGCCAGTGGCACCCTGTGACAGACCTAAAGGTGAATTGCACTACTAAGTCGATGGTATAAGGAAAACAAGACTGATTAGATGGATATATTTATAAAATAAGGATATTTTGGTAGAAACTTGGTAGGATAGTAGACAATCTAGAATTTAGGGAGAAATGCAGAATCACTGCATAAAACCCTTTTGTTTTTTAGACTGTGGGGAAGGTACATATAACACTTTACTTTTAATGAAGAGAAATGTTTTCTCTTTAACTGTGTCAATTTCACTTCAGACTCCCCGTTGGTTACATTATCCATACTTTTTCATTTTATATTTCTTGCTCATGAGGATTAAAGATGAAATATATGATAAATGCACACACAGTAAAGGATTTACATTAAGAAGGATGTCATACAATTATTTAATTATTAATGTTTGGTATTTAGTAGCCACTCAATTATTTCCCATCCTTCCATTTTTACTAGATTGGTGAAATAAATTACTTGATCTTGCCATAAGTTTAACAGTGTAATTTGCTGACAAGTATCAGAGCCTCAGAAGAAAACTGAAAAGCATTTTGGGAGACTTTTTTTCAACAGGCGCCATTCTAGGGCACATAATACATGAGAACTGTTTAATATATGCACATTTCTGATGATTTAGAGCACCTTCTGAAGTCATGGGGTTTCTTGTACATCCAAAAAGTCACTTTTAAGGTGAGAGGTTCTTGACTAGACTACTACTAATACATAGTTTTCTTAATTTATTTTTAAATGATGTTCCAAAAAATTGTAACACGTGCCTTAACTGTGCTCAGTTTGGGGGTCACTGAGCTAATGAGAGCTACTTGTAATAATCAGACTTACATAAGAGATTACAATCATTGTCTATATACAGAAGAGACTAGGGAATGATAGCAAAGAAAGCTTTCATCCCTTTACACACATATACAGGAAAAATGTCATTAAACAATTTATGAAAACAAAGTGAAAGGGAACATTGTGCAGATAAGATAGTAATGTAAATGTGAATTTCATTATGTAAATTAATTAATTTATGGAGTACAAGATCAGCTGTAGCATGGTTCTGATAGGTAAACTTCTGTAGTGCTATCTCATATAGCCCAAGCCCCTTCCCCTAGCAAAACAGCTTTTTTGTTTAATACAAACAAAAGCTTTTCTTACAAACACAGGAAGAAGAGGTTTCTCCTTTTAAACTATGTTTATTTATGAATTTTAGGTGCAGACCCTCACAGATTAAATGTTGCTTGGTTCAGAAACTCATCAGCTCTACTCTGTTCTAAGGGGGGGAAATGTTTTAACAAGAAACTTCCCACCATCTGAGCATCAAAAACCAGGAAAAATGCACTGCTGCTTATGTAAGCATCATTTCTGAAGTCACTGGGAATCAGGCTATGTCTCAAGATGACCAGAGATAACATTGCTTATTGTGTCAGAAAATATAAAAAACGGCAGGTTTGCAAAGCTTAAAAAAGAAAAGAAAAAAGAGACGGGAGAATTTAACTATAATTTTTATATTATGCAGAAATCTAATGAAAGAATTTGATACAAAAGAATATATATTTAAAGATGTGATTAATTCCATTCCTATTCAACAGACCACGTAAGCATGTGCTGAATTTGGCAATGGATATTTTGCTGAATCAAGGCCTTAATTCAGAAGGTGAGTGTGTGGGCCAGATTCTGAGCTGGTGGAAACTAGTGTAGCTCTCCTGAAGTCCCTGGTGCGGTGCTGATTTACGGCAGCTGTGGATCTGGGCCAATATTTAGAAATGCATACAGAATCATGCTGAAAACATGCGTATATATATGAATGAGTTTATATGAGAATATCTTAAACTAGGCCTCCAAGAAAAAGAACAGGGTAGTTTAAAACATTTGCTTCATGTAAATGGATTGGACTTGCCAAAAAGTAACTTTTTATGCAGGCATATGATCTACTAGAGGAAAGTTAGACTGAGTCACTGGATACATCAAAGTCAAAGTCCAGTGAATACAATTACTGAATGCTGTATGAACAAGAATGATACCTACATTCATTTGCCTACTGCCATGATTTCAAATTTTAATTACACAAAAACAGCTAGTAGCATCAGTGACTGAACTCCGCGGATTACCTTGATTGCTCTGTCATTATCTCTAATCATCTGCTGCTTCTCATCTTCAAACTTTTGTACAACATCCTGGAACCGCCTTTCTGCAGCAAGCTGCTGCCGGCTGCTTTCCTCTGTCAGAGAGGAAATGGTTGTCTTAAGTTCAGCTACGATCTAAAAAGAAAACAGCATGCTAAAACTCCTTGTTCAGTGAGCGGTATGTATTTTGCATGTATTTATACTTGACACAAGAATGGAGTTGGCAAACTCCACTGTGCAAACTAAATATTTTAAATTAACATATTACACACTGGCAAGCATGAAATTCCACACAGAAAAAAGGAATATAATAAAACTGTGAATGGCATAAAACTGCTGAACACAAAATATTTGGAAGAGTTTTCCACTATAACATTCCATAATATTTACTCATCAGAACAAAGCACATCTGTGATCTCAAACATATAAGATGTTTCCAGTTTTCCACTTCACTGAAATGTCTTCTTGGGATTTTTAGCAAGGCTTCAGAATTTTCTGCACTATAACAATCAAAGAACACTGAAATAAACATGCTAATAGCTCTTTGTCTGTTTGAAAGATACATGATAGTTTGATACTGTAGATAAGAAAAAGTTGTACTTTACATACTTAACTGAAATATTAAACTTGACAGGGCATTCCTGTGTCGTTGGGAGGAATGTATTTTATTTAACAATAAATTTGAGGTCTGGTTCAACGCTCATGGACTTTTTACATGAAACACCCATGATTGTTGACTATCTGAAATCTAGTTGTTTTATCCTTTTTATCACTGTAGAAAGCCATATTAAGCCACACTTCAGGGGCATATATTATAGAATGCTACGCTTAGACCCAAGTGTCCTGATCCAGCAAAGCACTTAAGCACATGCTTAACTTTAAGCATGAGAGCAGACTCACTGACATCAATGCAACTACTGATGTGATTAAAGCTATGTTGCTCTACTAGGGCCATAGAATCCAATTCTGAAAACATACGAAGAGTCCAATGATAACTGTACTACTCACACATGCTTCAATGTTTGCAGGACTGGGCCCCTAGACTGTAAAGAGACATAACTATTTTAAGGCCACACTATTTAATTTATTTAGGGGGAAAATGGGAGGTTTCAGATGTATATCTGATATGATTATAAATAATGTTATAAAATATTTTTAAATAAAAATACAGGAATCATGGGGAGAGGAGAAGGGAAGTTATTTTTTTTAACAAATGTATTGTGAATTCATTTCCCTACGTTTGCTAATGGATGAAAACCAGAAAGTGAGATAGACTATAAATAAAAAGCGAAACTGATCCTGCCAGTTTCAGTCACAGTGGACAAAAATGCCAAAATATACAAATGACATAAATTGCAAAATTAACACTTCTTATCTTGTTAATAATCTAAACTTTTATCAATATCCAGTTTCATATGAACAGTATCCCTTTGAACTCTTATTTAACTGACAACTGGTTAGACTTAATGCTTTCATAATTTTTAAGGGGCAAACTAATTGTCCATAAAAACGAAAGGGCATGGATATTGGAGAATCTCTAATTCCTGCATCTACATGAGCAGGGAACATTATGGGGTATTAATATCAGTAACGTCTGTAAAATACAAATGTAAATTAAGAGAAAGGCAATATCAAGAATGATAAATGATCAAAAATGTTCTCCTTTGTGTGGAAAATTAAGTTTTACATTATTTGGGTATAATTAGGCATCTGCAGTAACAAGGAAATTATCTTTGAAAAGGTAAAAAAGATTGTAAATGACCAGATGGTATGGAGCAATATAAGAACCTACATAAGAACTTGCTATCCAGTCCTTTAGAAATGTTCAGTTCTATATTTAAGTACTGAGATACCGTTTTCTACGAGTAAAATCAATGGGCACAAACGCAGAGCTAATTTGAGCAAATGCAACTCCAGTAAAAGTCTGTAGTCTGAATTCAGCAGCAATATAAATGGTAGGGTGGGTCAGGAAATTAGCACCAATCTGGCATTTACTGGGTATTTAAAACGGAAGTAGAAGAGGGTGGTAACAAATGTAAATTGCACTCATTTGACAGAAAATACAAAATAAGTATAAATTACATTACTTTGCCATTTACAACCAATGCGTAGTTATATCACTATATGTCTGCTGAATTTTGTCCATTTTATTTAGGGTAACAAAAATAGTAAGTTGGTTAAAATGCAGCAGTAGGAGAGGAAAGCACTGACATACTGGGCAGACTTCCTCTATTAGAAGTTTACTGGGTTAAGAACTTGGACATACATAAACATTTTAAAAATATTTTAAGAAAATCTTGACAAAAGTTGCCAGACAAGGAACTGCTTTGGGCAGTAATTCTCAGGAAAAAAAATCTAATTGTTTATTTTCTGTAAACTTCAAAGAGAATTTCCGGGAATATCTTCTTTGTGTGGGTGTTAAAAGTGAATATTCCAAGAGGCCAGAGAGAGTAAGATTAGGCTGATGTCAGCAACATAACCAAATGAAAGTTACAAATGACCTATTATTAATGTTAAGCTACAAAAAATATATTCAAACAACACTAAGGGTCTGATTCAAACCCACAAAAGTAAAGAAATTCAGAATAAAACCCCATCTTTAACCTCACCCATTGTATCAAATAACTGTAGCATACAATGTATGGTCTGTAAAACCAGCCACTGTTTAGAAAGCCCTTACAATGGTTGTCACAGAATCACCAAAAGTAGAAATGTAAAAGATTGATTAGGTCATCTAGTCCAACCCCCTGTAATAAAGGACATTCCTTACAATATATTTGTTAATGCAATGTCCAGTTTCCTTAAATGGGTCTCAAACCACTTCTCTTGGGAGACTATTCCACAGTCTAATAAATTTCATTACTATGAAGTTTGTCCTGATCTTCAGTTTAAATTTTCATTATCTTAGTTTCACAGTTTTATTCCTTGTTACTCATATAGTCTTTTTGTAACATCCTAAGCTATTTCTCTCCCTCCTTGATGTTTATACCTTTTACATATTCAGAGCTGTTTAGATATCCTCCACCTGCCATAGACATAGCAAGGTATTACAGAGTTAGTAGCTAAGGGTACATCTACACTACCTGCTGGATTGGCGGGTAGTGATTGATCTATCGGGGATCGATTTATCATGTCTAGCGTAGACGCGATAAATCGATCCCCGATCACTCTGCCGTCGACTCTGGAACTCCACCACAGCGAGAGGTGGAAGCAGAGTCGATGGGGGAGCGGCGGCAGTCGATCCCGCACCGCGAGGACACGAAGTAAGTGATTCTAAGTCGATCTAAGATACGTCAACTTCAGCTACGCTATTCTCATAGCTGAAGTTGCGTATCTTCGATCGATATCTCCTCCCTGCCCCCCAGTGTAGACCAGGCCTTAAGGGAACTTCAACCTCAGGCCTGAATTTCTTTATATTGATGTCAAACTTTCTATTTTTGAGGTCTGTTTTCTTTTTATTTCTCTTCAGGGGGACATAACAAATGCAAGAGGATTTTATAAAAAGTCTCTCAAAGAAGTTTTTAAAGTTGGCATTCTAGTCAGTCATCCCACTTTCATGTAAACGCATGCACAGAAAATATGCATTTAGATTATTTTAGAAATGCATATTATTTACCTAGACATAATAACTATATACAACATATTTACAAAGTTTTCTGATAAATGTATAGTGCCCTAAGTTTTTAGTGCAGCAGTCTTGAGAGTCCTATGATATCCCGCCACAGTATTTATGTCCACAGTTGTGGCGATGTTCCTTTGAAATGAAAGACTTTTGAAGGTAGAAATTAAGATTCATTATTATTAATAAATTGCAAAATGTTTCTGGCTTAACAGTAAAAGAGATGATTTGTAACTTCCATGTTGCTGCCTAGTATGTGGGCGCTTGAAACATTCCTTATGTTTGTTGGCATTAAGGGAATATCTGACCAATATTACTTTTGCTGTGAATAAACCTTTATAACCAAACTCAAGGCTACATTTGTGGTTGTGAGACTCTTGCTTCTCAGAGAAGAATGATGGCTACATGCAAATCCTCATGACAGTTTTTACACTATTAAAATTTTAACCTTCAATTGCATCTACATATTCTACCATTGTCTAAAACCATGCACTAGGAGCATGTTACTGGTATGCTGTACCAATATACTACACTGGCTAAGTGCCCCTAGTGTTGGCTCAGCTTATACAGACAAAGCTGTGCTAAGTTTATTCTACCACTACTTCCTCCTGCACCAAGCGAAGGAAGCTATACCAGTAAAAGCGCAGTTTTAACAGTGTAACTGCATCTACACTAGAGGGCTTTGCTGGACTAGCTATCTCGGACATGGATCACACCTCTTCACTTCCCCGATCAACACAGCTGGTCCAGCAGAAGTCTGCAATGTAGATATAACGTAAGTTTCAATACCATGTGCAAGTTAAAATGAAGGTTTAAAGTACTCAAAAGCAATTGTGAAGAATCGCTTACGACCTCCATTTTTTTGGATTGACTTTAACTGTAAGGGTAAATTGAATATACATTTTCAGTTCCCACGTCAAGGGTCATCAAAAAACCATTCTACATTAATGAACAAAAACTCCCTCAATTAAGAAAAAGCAGTTATCTTTTATGTCATGATGTAATCTAGAATTCTTTTTAAATGTTTTGGGCTGTTAAAAAGCTATGTCAGCATTCAGCAAAATAATTGGATTGGTTAAAGCCCTACAAACGGTAAATATCAAAACTGCATCGTTGGGCTCAAATCCTGTCATCAGATATGTGGCCAAGAACTGCCTTGTAATAGCCTATACACTTTATGGTTATGCAAGCAACCTTTGCACGGTTATGCAGGCCTACATACAGGGCCAATTTTGCCTCAGTTCTCATTGACTGTTCTCTTTGACTCATTGTCAATGGTGCTCATGCTCCCGGCAGGATCTGACTCCCAATAGCTAAGAAACAGCAAGCTTAAAAAAAAAGGCTTTAATTGGTCAGTTAAATTTTCTGGTTGTTTTTTTTAAAAAGTACTGTAATAACATTTGGGAAAGGCAATTGATATTTGATTTTGGGGGAGTAGCAGGGAGTTTTGGACATAAGAAAAATAAAGTTCCAGAATAGAAGTACGGTAAATACATTTTTCATTTTAAGTTTCCAAATCAAGCTTACTAATTTGAGGTTTTTGTTTTCATGTTGCCTACCTGTGAAGATTTGGCCAACTTCTGACTGTATTCCTTTTCAATCTGCTTCAACCTGCTGTTGGCCTGAAATAGACACACACACACAAAAGGAAACCAGATTAGCTCAGATGAAGAATGTGTACAGACACTTTGCCACTGACCCCTACGCTTGGCACCTCATCTACATGCCTATCACTAAGCAGCTGGGATCTGTGCCAATTCCAACGCCCTTTTGTGGCAGCCAGAAAACCACAAGGGCTTGTCTTTGATCTAGGGCCAACTATTCATCACTTAAAAGAGAGAAAAAATTGTACCTCTGCTGCCAATTATTAGAAAAACATAAAGGCCTCTACGGATAAAAAAAAAAAGGAGGGGGAGGGAGAGAGAGCGAGCGAGAGAAGTTTATCAGGATGACTTCATCTCTGTGAGAGGAAAAAAGGGAAGAAAAAAGCCACAAGTTCCAGTGGAGGCTGTGAGGGTTCAGTGTGACATGTATTATATGTTTTCATGTGCCAGCTGATGTCTGCAAGCTCCTTTTGTCAAATCTTACATTCTTTTTTAAGACTGCTGCTATTAAACTGAAAATCAAACCCAAGATGCATCTGAACCATTTGGGCCCTCTTTGACACACAGCTCTTTCTGCCTCCTGGCATATCTTTTATATCTCAAAGATAAGGAATAAAACAAAATTGGAAACAAGGCCACTTTGTTGTTCTGATATCACGGGTAATTGAGAAGCAGGTGTAGCTGTAATCTAGTGAAAAAAAAACACAGCTCTTAAATTCACCATTAGTTTTCATCCAAACTAAGGACACAATTCTGAAATGGGTTGGAGTTTTAAAAGCCATTGTTGTACTATATCTGATAGACCTGTCTCAAAAAGTTTCCTCATAAATGTTCTGTTCATGGTTCTCATACTCTTGGTTCTAAAATTTGAGGCTAAATGTCTGAGAAAAATGTATCTTTCAGTAAAAGAGTACTCTGAAAGCTGAGTTTTGAAGCAAGTCTAGGGCGAGCAGCCTTTCAAAGTGATCTTATGCAAAAGGTTCTGTTCACAACACTGGAGAGGACAGAATCCATCACAAAGTCCTGATGCAGCAGCTGGGTCTGCGCAGGCAGACCCCAATGTCAGTGTGGAGCACTGCTGAAGCCAATGGGGCTCTGTATGGGCATAGGGGCCCTGTGTGGAGCCAGTTGCAAAATTGGGATTTAAGGCTCCAAATCCTGTGTATGCTTATGCATGCATCTTCACTCAAGCGAATAGTCTGATTTACTTCAATGTGACTACACATGCTTAAAGTTGCAGACATGCCTAAGCCTGCAAGATCAGAGTCTTAATGAATATACATTAAAATAGTACAGAAAATGTGAAACAGCTATTCTAGTAGAACATGAAAACTTTTACAATCAATGCCTTTCTAAATGCTATTTTTAATGTAAAATATATTAGTCACATAAGAAAATTTATTTCACCAAAATATTTCATTTTTAAATCCCAAATTTCTTCAGATTTAACTAGTACAAAGGTGTAAGATGCATAGATGTTTCCATATTTAACTATTATATGGTATGAAATACCACTGCTCTAAAGCATCATCAGAAACACTTTTCTAGTGAATGAGTATAATTTTTAAGTTCAAGGGAGATGAGAATGTTACCATTTAATTGTAGGACTAATCACGTGTTCTATATCATGAGTGGATGCGCTACTTCTAAATCCGTGCCTAAGATTCTATTAATGTCTCTAAATACTGTGTTCCTGAAGTGAAGTAAAAGATTCTGAAATAACAGGTGAATTTCATTTAAAAGTAACCTGTTTATCTAATTTAGGTAATCTACTGAATATGGGGTCCACTCAGTCCTAGTCAATATACAACATAGTGATGGGTTAATTGATGAAGAATTTATTGTGTGGAAGCATCACACAGTTTGTTCCAATCTACACTTCTTTCTGCATTTAACACTTTTTTCCTTAATAGTCTTCTGGTTTCAGATCACTTATTGACACCACTGTGGGTCATAAAATTATTGTAACTGGCTGTTTATCTTTAGGGCAAATTAAAAAAATACTTACTGTACTAGAAAGATTAAGTTACTTTATACTCTCAGAAAGATTTTTCATACACACATATATATAGATAGTGTGTGTGTGGGGAGAGAGAGAGAGTTGTTAGCAAGACTGTGCAAAGAGTGTCACATTACCCTTGTGTTCACTCTTAATCAGCCTGAGACTGAAGGACTTCATCTCTCATATAGTCAATTTTATAACCTCTTGAACCCAAAGAAGAAATCTTAATAAATAACACAGGCACACACACCCATAACTTTCACAAACATATCAGAAGTTAGTCCACACCGAACCGAGCTGGGGTAGCCAGTTTGACAAACAATGACCAAAAAGATCTGAAAAAGAAACTTGCTAAATTTCAAGGCTTTATTCCTAGTGGAACTCCAACCCCTATAATACTGTTTATAGTAATCTGATTTAAAATTAACTATTGTATTTAATTTTGTAAAACTAAAGACATAACAGCTTTAATAAGATGGCATCAGAAGTGCAAACCAACCCTCAATAGCTCATTTACTGCTTTTCTTTAAATTAATCAATTAACCCCAAATTTTTATATACACGTTAAAGCCTAAACTTTCTGAGGTGCTCAGCATTCACAGCTCTGACTGAAACCAATAGAAAAGCGAGTGCTCAGCACACCTGAATATCAGGCTCTATGTTTCTCAGGTTGGGCACCTAAAAATCGAGGCATCTAAAACTACTGGACACTTGAAAGTATATGCTTCAACTTTTATATGTAGTTCTGTCCCATTTTACAGGACTGACATCATTGCAACCCAGGCTTTAAAGCTGGTGCTACGTAGTATGCAATTTCTGCAAGTTATATCACACTGGTCAATCAAACTGATTTTTTTTTTAAACTTATGGTGACACACTGGGGATCCACTTCAATTATCTTATGTTACTCCAGAACATATTACACATCCCCATTTTGCACAGAACCTGCACCCATATTCATTTGAGATATTGGACTATGGGCTCTTGCTTGTAGCCTGGGAAGGCAAATCTGCCCCTTTGCCAACACATGGAACATGGCTGTGCAAAAGCGCTTTTACTTAGGCTTTGTGCCGGGTAAGCATTTTTCTATGAAGTGCTTACATATAACTACACCTCTACCTCGATATAACGCTGTCCTGGGTAGCCAAAAAATCTTACCGCGTTATAGGTGAAACCGCGTTATATCGAACTTGCTTTGATCTGCCGGAGTGCGCAGCCCCACCGCCCCGGAGTGCTGCTTTACTGCATTCTATCTGAATTCTTGTTATATCGGGTCGCGTTATATCGGGGTAGAGGTGCATATGTAGAGAATATAGTTTAGGATTTAAATTAAATTTAACTTGACAAATGAGGAGACTAAAAATGGAATGGTGAAAAGAAGCATCAGTTTTCATGGACTGTTTCAAAACTGAGTTCAACTGTCATAATAGGCCAACTCTATCATGTACTATATGAAACATAAGCTGCTTCTGTATTAATTTTAGCATATTTCCTCACTTTCAGGTGACATGTATTTCAGAAACAATGATGAAGAGAAATCAAACTGGATAACAATCCTTTGGAAGGTCAGACAGTATTCATTAAGGTCTAACTTCATAGCAATGGACAGCAGGGTCAATACAGTTAATGGTCCTAAAACCTAGTTTTTCATGTGCTTTATGTAACTTCTGTAATTCACATCTGGCTGAAATATCAGCTATGATGTGCATTTTCATAGCAAAAGGGCTTAAATTCAATAAGCCATGGTAGTTTTTGTTTAGTTTCACATGTTTTAAGACAAACTTTAGTTAAAAATGACTTCATTATGAAAATATTATACGCACTTAGTTTATGTTACAGAGTAGAGTCTTTTGCATTACAATAAAATATTTTATGGCCTTGTTACAGTTTTTCAGCTTTAAAAAGCAACTACAGTTTTGTAACAGGTTTCATACATCTATAATCCATACTGTTTATATCCAAACTATAGATGCTAAGTAAAACTGTACTGACTTCAATGGCACATGGAATACAAACAATTTAATGGTATTAGACCCACAGCCTACATTTTAAGATGTTTGAAATATTGGATACTATGTTAATGAAGACTGAATTTTATTTTCTTCTTTTCATGAAATACAATAGTACTGTTAAAAATAAAGGAACTTAAACATAACAACCAATTATGGCAACACACTCCAGAAAAGTCTGAAAAATACTGTGCGTTACCAAAAACTTTCATCTACTTTTCAGTAACATCATTGATGATTAGCAAGATATTTGTGTGTAAAGAGAAAACAACTTTTAATCACTCCATTATTCCTGCCTAACTCACTCAATGGAACTACAGTCCTGTTTTAGTGACATTATAACCACTTACCTTGTGGTCACTTCTGATTAGAGCTAGGTGGATTTTTTTTGGAGGGGGCGGGGGGGCAAATAAATGAGAGAATGAGAATGAGAGAATAAAAAGAGTGAGAATAACTCTATAGCCTGACAGTTATGGCACTCATCTAAGATGTAGGAGACCCAAGTCCCTGCTCCAATAACAATTTAATTATTTATAAAATGTGGCACAGCTTCAACAGGAGAGATTGACAAAGACTCACACCAAAATATCCCATAGCTTGTGTGGCTAGGACACTCTTATGCAATGTAAGAGATCCAAGTTCAAATCTCTTCTCCATATTAGGTAAAAGGGGGGACTGAACCTGTGTCTACCACATTCCAGGCTAGAACCATAACCACTGGGCAAAAGGTTATAAAAGAGGTCCCTCCTTTGCTTTCGTAAAAATGTCAGATCAAAAAGAAACATTTTGACCTGACTTGATATTGTTTTTCAATTCACCAAAACAGTTAGAAAAAATGGTTTTTGGTTTGATCCAAAATGAAGCTTTTTGCCTATATTTTGGCATTGCCAGCAAACTGAAAAATCCATTATTTGCCCAGATCTGGTTCTGACATTATAAACACTAGATTATAATTCTCCTGAATGAGTCAGCACCAGAAGGTTACTTATGTAAGTCAAAGTTTCTAT